CCCCCCCCGCCTTCCGCAGGTGAGAGTTGTATGGATTTTTTTGCAAATTTTACAGATTTTTGAGGCTTTTTATACAGGTAAACGTCCAAAGAGGTTGACATGTATGTAAACCTGAGTAACCAGCGTTTATTCTACAGACTGAATCAACTAGTCAGATAAAAAGTTGTACTTTTTGTTCGTCCTGCATTTGTGGCACCCCTTAGATGGACGGCACCCTTAGCATCTGCCTATACTGCCTCTGCCACGGGCCGGCTCTGTTCCCCCTCCTCTAAAGGCAAATCATTTACAAACAGCCATGACATGTGGGGACCTGAGTCGAGGTCTAAAATGTAAAAACTTTTTTTTATTTAAACCTTTTATTTTTATTAGTTAATAATTTTACAAACTTTGGAATATTGGAAAATTAAAATTACATTTTTACAGGAATGATAGTTTTTTATTTTAAAACACGTCACATTAATTCATAAAATTACAAAGATTTCAAGTATTTAAAATTTTTTTTTTTTTTTTCCTTTTTGGTCATGTCTTTGATAAAAAATTTCAAAAAAACTTTTGTGATTACTTCTTTCTTTTTTCAGAAGTTGACCAGTGTTTCCTCATGAAGTTTAAAAGCAGAATTAAACTCAAGTTGGTAACTTCTCTATCATGCTGCGGTTTACTAAATATGAACCAACCCTGAACACATCTGCACCACTTACCGCCCCCCTCTCAAAGTCATTGTACAGAGGTTTGTCCAGCAGCGTTCTCTCGCTGCAGCCCTCCGTGCCCACCAGTGTGATGTAGACATAGTCATCGGTCCCTGCGAACCACTGGTTGCCTGTGGCTATAGTCACTGTGTAAGATGGCATGGTGACCACGAAACAAGTGCAAAGAGCAAAGATCGAAACGTCCTCTGAAGATAAAAAGCAAAAAACAGCAGGAAAAAAAACGTCTTTACTCTCAATGGAAAGTTTTGGTGTCAGATTTTTTTTGCTTAAGGTCTCTAACTGAGGTTCACGTCTTGACAAACACGAATTAGTAATCAGGTCGAAGAGGGAGGTACCTTCCAACAAACTGACTCCTGATGATGACAGTCTCTCCACCCTAAACTAACACTCCCATCAAAGAAAGCATCTGTGGCCTCATGATCTCAGAGATGTGATGTTACTAATAAGTGGCAACAGAAAAAAAAAAGTTTTGCATATCTTCACAAAAAAAGAGGGTAAAATAATCCAGTATCGCTCTGAATCATTGTGGAGTGAAAAATGCTGGGTGTTGGTAATACAGAGCAGGCTTTGTGAATGTGACTGAGTCAAAAACAAACAGAAAGCTTTTCAAAGACCAGGAGGAAGTAAGGACACACACACACACACACACACACACACGTCTAACCCTGACCCTTTAACCTAARCCTAACCTCACAGGTACATCCCTGACCCTAAAACTGACCTAAACTCAATTCACAACTTAGTCCTAAATGGAACCCCTGACCCACCAGTGATGCTTCCCCCAATGGGGACTGGACTTGTGTCCCCATAAGGCACAGTGGGTCCTCACCAGACTGTGTGTACTGGGAAAATAGTCAAAAATCACCCCCACCAGGTAGCAAAAACACGTACACACACACTTTTTTCTATCCTCCTGGAGACTTTGCATTGACTTACACTTATTTTTCAGTCATTTCTAACCTAACCCTGACCCTTTTCCCTAAACCTAACCACCTCAGTACCTGACCCTAAATCTAGCTTAAACTCAAACCACATCTTGGTCCTAAACTTACCCGACCCACCCACCCAAAATCATCATCCATACCCATGAGGACCAGGCTTTGGACCCGCAAGGCTGTGTTTTTCTGGAAAATGGTCCCCATAAATGTAGTAAAAACGTGTCCCCACACACTTAACCCAAAGTGGTTCTCAAAAAAAAAAAGGCGGAGCAAATAAAGAGGCTAGGAAATTATTTCAGATCAGTTTCATTTCTTTTTTTCTGCAACCAAAAACAAACATGCAGACACTCTTTATCTGCATTTAGCTTATGACTGGAGGGGGGGAGAAAAGTTCACACACATGCACACATTTCATTTCCAAACCAAATTAGCGTGTGACATCGAACAACAGCAGGCAGTGTACTCCAGTTTTAGTCAAATCAATGCAAATACATCAGAGAGCCCTTCTGTGGTTTCCTAAATAAAACCGAAACTTTGACATAAACAGGGGTCTTTCGTAAGCCTGAAACTCAATAAATACATATATATATTTATATTTGTATTTTTTTAAGTCTAAAAATTAAAAAACACAGCTTGGTACACAAAGTTTAATTCAGACAGTGCTGATAAACAGCATAAAACGTAAACCAAAAAAATTTTTTTAAACCAGTTTATCTGCTTTCAATTGCTGATCAAATTGTACCACGATATGGCAAATACGTACATTTATACCTAAGTATCTGATTACTCGTATATATTTGTTTACAGTCAGCAGGAAGAGCAGAGCTTTTATGGACAAAAATTAATTCTGAGAGCATCTGAACAAAGCAGCACAGCAGATAAATGTCAGCAGATACAAAGCACAGTGTTACGAAATAATGTTGCCAAATTAGATGACTAAACTCTCACTTTCAAAATAAAACAGTAAAATAAATTATTTATTGTAATAAACTAAAACATCTAAAAGCGCTTTAAATTATTTTTTACGTTATTATTATTAAATTAATTTTGGTTCAACAGCTATTTTAAACAAGACGGTCACATATTGTAAGTCAAACAATTCCTCTGCCAAAAACAAAAAACAAGACTGTTCAGTAGTCTGAGGGTGTTATTTGCATGATTGTACAATTTTATTACAGCTATGTCCAACTTGATGTTTACCAGTACAAAAGTCACATTTTTTATTAAATAAATGTACATTTCAGCATGAGCACTAACCTTTAAGATCTGCTTTGATGTTCAGGAATTTTAGTTTAATGTGAGATCAAATTAAAACAATGAACTATATTGTGGGGCAAATTTGTTTGTATGCTTATTTTCTGTCTTTGTTTTGTGTGAAATCTATTTTGAGACATTCAAATGAGAAGAATTTAGAAAATGAGGGAGGGAAACAATCCCTCTCTGGTGAACGTTCGAAAGAGATAAGGATTAAAGGCAGCTTCGTTTGATTTCACAAGACAAAAAACAAGTTTTGAAATCCTGTTTTTTTTAGACTTCTGCTTTTCACCAATGCTCCACATTTATATTCACCTTAAATCTGAGTAGACCACCAGATCAACTAAATCAGATTTTGACCTCATGTTGATGACCTAATGTTTGTTTCCTGGGAAAAATGTTTAGAAAAAGCTAAAAAAAAAAAAAAAGGAGCTGAAGTAACCAGGTAATGTGTTATCTAAACTGTGCTACAAAAACTGCATAAATGACTTTTAATCTGAAAACCTGCTTTGAAAATGCAAAATTAAAAAAGACAAAAGAAATCACATTCTGACAGATTTGAGAAGAGCTGTGTTCAATTTGTCCAGCTCATGTGTGCAGCTCTGGCTAAACATTATTATTCTGTATAAATACTGCCACCTAGTGGCAACATGCTGACAAATAACAGTGCAAATTACACCTGAGTTCCCTCTGGTAAACTCATCCCTCCAGACATGTCAACTTATATCTACGATATGTTAAAACTTTAGGGATGTACAATAAAGTCTACAATAACAACATAAAGCGCTCATGATTTGTCTTATTTGAAAACTAAAACAGTACAAATATTATTTTTAAGAGCAGATAAATTAAAGGCTGTCATGAACTAAAACAATGTGGTACAGAGGTCACTTCATCCTAAAGAAGTCAGATTTAAGATTTGTTTTGAGTATAAATGCTAAAAACCAAGACTTAATGTGTAAAACAAACAAACCAAAAAAATAAGGCAATCACTCACATTCAGCCACCAATCAGCAATAGTTAGACTCTAACAAATTGTTTAAAAAAATATGTAGATTAACTGAGCAACCTCATATAAAGTGAGAAATATCCCCTTCAAGTTGAATTTTTCACGCTCTATTTTGATCACTTTAAACTTAAACTCACCTTAACTAGAAATAAATGATCTATTTGTTGTCGTGTGAGTTGCTGAGATTCGGCTCAGATGAGGATTGTCTTGCTAGAAAAACAGATCATTTACAAACAAATCTCTTCTGTGGTGATACGTTAAAAAAATACTGAGAAAATAAAACAGGATGAACAGAGAAAAATCCCACGTTTTCTTTCCTTCGGCAGTAAGTGACTTCCTGCGGTGCCTTCAGGGAACTGAAGAGGATCATAAGACGTACCAGCTTAACGCTGCAGTTGATCGCTACGTCGATCGCAGTCCAGGAGGAGACTAGTTCAGGTAGAGGACCTGCTTCATGAACTCGTAGGTGGTGAAGGCCATGGCCTGGGATGGGATGCAGCGGATGTAGTTGAGAGTAAGGCCTCGGTACAGTCCCCTCTTGACCCCGTACTGCTGATACACGTACTTCAGAGTCTTGATAGGCGAGCTGCTCACATGGAAGACAAAGAAGGGTAAAAATCTGAAACAACGTTTGAATAAAACCTAAAAGACACGAGCCCATTTAGCCTATTCTCACTAACCTAACACTAATAAGAACTTTTCATTTGTGACTGATAGCAAAAAAAAAAGGTACAAGTTTCAAGCTTTTCTTATAAACAGACATTTCAAAAAACCTAAACATAAAAAGGTACATCCTGCAGAGATACTTACCCACATTTATCTGAATCAGGAAGCGCGGTGCCTAGCTGCATTCTTCTCCTGGCCACATCTAAAGGATAACTAGTAAGAAAAACACAAATATGTCATCTGTCTTTACATCTGTGTAATTTCTAACAAACTCCAGTCGTATTTAGAGTCATAAGCTTTAAATACTTTGTGCCCCAAGGGGTTTTCTGGAAGTTTTTGCTCAGAATACCATGCTGAAATGTAAGTGAGTGTATCTCAGCATTTACAAACTCTACTTAAATAATTTTGGTATCAACATAAAACTAACACTTGTGAGATTTTATTAGAAGTGTGAGTATTAAAACAGCTGCTGGGGATTTAGAGATCCTGTGCAAGGATTCATGCTGCTAAAATGAACTGGAGCATAGTTACAGAGGTTTTAGTAAAGATATAATTTTGTGTTTTGTCATTCTGCACAGGAAGGACCATGATGATACCATTAATAAATGTTAATAAATCTGAAGTTTTTACATCCAAAAGTTATTTCTTTTTTCCTACCTGCCTGAAAAGACTTGTTATTGAATGTTTGTTCTTTTAAAAATTACCCAAACATTCTCTGTGGAACAATCTCCCTCAGGACATCAGGCAGGCCTGTTCAGTGGAAGTTTTTAAAGCAAAGTTAAAGAATCACTTGTTCACTTTATCTTGTGTTTTAATATTTTACTTTATTTCATTTAATTTAATTTGATTTGTTGTTGTGTTTTTATTTCACTTTGTAAATAAAGTTGTTATTATTATTATTATTACTATTATTATTATTATTTATTTGTCACCATATGCATTATATAAAATAATGAGAAATTATATTTGACTTCAGTTTGACCATATTCACTCCACATCAAGTGAAAAAAAACTTTCAACACAGTTTATAACATATTTTGCTATCTATTTTGACTTGCTTTAAAAAGAAAATGTCAATTTTTTTTCCTTTACAGATTTGCTTGAATGTATTTACAGGTTAGCACTGAGGCCATTTTGAACAGTTTGTTTACTTTCTGATTCAACTGCTTGACGTTTGAACTGTGTTTTGGTGAATGTAAAAATAGTTTCAGTCAGTTAAAAGAAGTTAAAAGAAATAGAAAACGGAAAAAGCTGTTTTGCCCCCGGTACTGGGGGCGTGGGGCTCAAGAGGTTAAATACTTTGTACCCACGGTACTTACGAGACAGTCTGAGCAAAGGCACCAGCAACCCCTCCACAGAGAAGGTTGATGTGGGGTTTCAGGACAAGGATGTCAGGGTTGTCTGACGAGGGACGTCCCAGACGCTCCGGGAAATGCTTCAAGCCAAGGCTCTTCAGGGTGCCGAAGGTGAAGAATGAGAGACCTTGAAGGGGTGCAGACGGGACGCGTGAAAAAGAAAAATCTAACTCAAAGAAAAGGTCAAACACCCGAAGGAGGAGGCAAAGATGCTAGATTTTAAGAAATAGGCATCACCTGCATAAGGCGCCATTCCAATAAGTGTAGGAGTGAGTCCTCTGTAAAAGCCTTTCATTCCTTCCTTTACAGAAAAAAAAATGGTGTAACTTCAGTAAATATTTCAGTTAAAGCTTGTAAAATTCATCACTAGTAAATCACCTTGTGAGAGATGGAGCGGAAGACATCAATAATTCCAGAGTAGCGATGATCTCCTGTTACCTGGAAGGCCAGTCTGGCTCGGATCACATCCAGAGGGTAGGTGCAGATCACCGCAGTCATCCCTACACACACACACACACACACATAAAAAGAGATCACAAGGTTCACACAATGACTACACCAGCAAAAATGAAAATGGCAGACAAATATTACCTGCCATAGATCCTGCCATGAGGCGGTGGATGTGTCCAGAGATCCCAAGTTGTGTATTCAGCAACTGTAAGTATTAATAACTGATTGCAATAAGCACTGATTAAAAAGATGATTATATAGAAATGATTAAGTCAAAGCAAAACAAAAGTAACACAAAGACACAATGTAAACTGCTAACTTCAAAGCAATTTTTTTATAATGTTGCCTTTTAATAAAATCCTCATAGTACCTTTTTATATCTGTCAAAGGCCATGAACTGAATGGCTCCATAAGGGAATATCCTGACCATCATTGCCCCGTTCCCTTTGTACAAACCCAGGATACCTTCTTTCTTTGGCACAGCGGTGAGTGTGGAAAACACTCCTGCAGAAAAAAAACGTTCACACGATTCAATTCAGATGCCTGAAAACAAAAATTTATCTGGCTTTCCAAGTTCTGAAAGTGGTTTTTGTTGTTGTTGTTTGTTTGTTTGTTTGTTTGTTTGTTTGTTTGTTTTACCCAGATGTTTGTAATGTGGGCTCTGGCCTTGAAGAAGAATCTTGACCCTATCCAGAGGAGCGATAGTGGTCTTGGCACAACATCCTGCTACACCTAAAAAACAGAACAGAAATGTGGTTATATAATTTAATCATTAAAAGCTCATTAAATTTTTGAAGATCTTTTGAAAAATAAAAAATAAATAAATCAGGTACTGGACCGAAAAGTTATAAAAGAAAGCAGACAGAGAACAAAACAAAACAAAAAAGGCCTTCAGAAAGACAATAAAAAATAAATTCACCCTCAAAGTAAAGCCAAATCAGAGACGTGTTTTTACAGCTACTTGGACATTTATTATCTACCTTGCTGGAAAGGTTTTGTGCCACTGAACACCATGAACTGGCATGAAAGGAGGACTGCACCCTTCAGTTTTACAGTTATAGCCACTGTTAAGGTTTTCAAAAACAAATGTTGCTTCCTTTATCAATGTTTTGAGAGAATGGCTCAGTGTGTGCCTGTGCACACGCACAGAGGCTTGTTTTGTCTTTACGTTTTCTACCAGAGTGAATTTTTGAAGGCCTGATAATTGTGGAAATGTGTCAGACTTTACCTCCAGCTACAAAGGAGCGAAGCCAGTAGAAATTCTTGTTAGTAGGGGTTGTGGAGGCAGTGGCCTCCATTGTCATCTTCTCTGTTCAGGAAGCTGCCACATCCATGACTGATAAACTTGGCTAAAACACATAAGTGACTATGAGCTTCTAAGTATTGGATCACAATAAGGCAGAAAATGTAACTTGAATGTGTATTTCTACACCTGGAATCCCAATGTAAAATGTTTTCTATATTATATACTAGAATAACACAGTTTTTGATCGTTTTTTTTACCCTCGTAAAAACTGGATGTACAAATTTAAAATCAACAACGGTGCTAGGTTGACTTTTGGAGACAGCTCAGTTTACAGGTAAACACCACTTAAGGAAGGAGACAACTCTAACACAATATTTTACTAGGCTGACTGTAATAAAGTCATACTCACAAGTTAATGTGAACTGTTAAAGGCGCATAAACAGCAAAACCAGAGGAAGGTTGTGAATGGGGAAAAAAATGTTTAACATATAAAAAGCCTCATTTTCGTCGAGCTGCTACCTCCTGGTTTTTCTCATCGCCAGATGTAGTTTTTGGCGGGTCAAAAAGACAAAACAACAGATTTAAAAAAGCTGTTGTCTAGTCTATAAGAGCGTCACTGACGAAAATAATTTACAAAAAAGGCAAACATGGCTAGAAAATAGATGATATCGGCGTCCTTCGCCCACAACGGAAAAACAGGTCGCATGATGATGACGCAACATGGGGGCGGGACATTTGGAGAGGAGAAGAAGTGGGTGGGGTTTGTTTTCATTTTGTAAATACCAAATGATAAAATAATAATAGAAAATCTCTGCTTGTTCAGACACAACTCTTAAAGTTGTATGAGTTTGTTTTAAACAAAATCATACAACTATAAGAGTTGTGCATGTGAGTTGTGCCTGAAAGAAAAAACTAATCGTTTTTTTCTTTCATGCAGCTAAATTTTGTTTATTTCTCAGCTGTTCACTCAAAGAAAAAATGTGCAAAGAAATGGAAAATGACTATATAGGGAAAAATAACTACAAAATGAAAATAATCTGAAAAGCTCATTTAATTATGACATAACACTGTTCATCAACTGTGACACATGAGGAAAAGGCTGTGTGCATTATAACCAAGAAAAAAAATTTGATTTAATCTGAAAAAAGTACTTTGGACCACTGAGCAACAGTCCAGTGCTGCTTGTCTGTAGCCCAGGTCAGGCGCTTCTGTCGCTGTTTCTGGTTCAAAAGTGGCTTGACCTGGGGAATAAGGCACCTGTGGCCCATTTCCTGCACACGCCTGTGCACGGTGGCTCTGGACGTTTGTACTCCAGACTCAGTCCACTGCTTCTACAGGTCCCCCAAGGTCTAGAATCGGCCCTTCTCCACAATCTTCCTCAGGGTCCGGTCACCTCTTCTCGTTGTGCAGCGTTTTCTGCCACACGTTTTCCTTCCCACAGACTTCCCACTGAGGTGCCTTGAGACAGCACTCTGGGAACAGCCTATTCATTCAGAAATGTCTTTCTGTGTCTTACCCTCTTGCTTGAGGGTGTCAGTGATGGCCTTCTGGACAACAGTCAGGTCAGCAGTCTCACCCATGATTGTGGTTTTGAGTAATGAACCAGACTGGGAGTTTTTAAAAGCCTCAGGAATCTTTTGCAGGTGTTTAGAGTTAATTTGTTGATTCAGATCATTTGGTTAATAAGTCGTTTAGAGAACCGTTTCATGATAAGCTAATCTTTTGAGATAGGGATTTTTGGTTTTTCTTTACTTTTTTGCCAAAATCGTCAAAATTAAAACAATAAAAGGATTTAACTACGTCAGTTGGTGTGCAATGAATCCAAAATATATGAAAGTTTAATGTTTATCAGTACATTACAGAAAATAATGAACTTTATCACAA